ATATATATATATATATTTGAAGATGCAAAAAATGAAACTGAAATGAAACCAGTGATTGAAAATAAATAAATTTGTTACTGCAAATCACTATCAGTGCCTGCGGTTCAATCTCAAATCTAACATTTGTGGCCTACATAATATTACATTACACTTGTTGTGTAGACATGACACTTTAAAAACGTCTTAACGTGACCAACTATGAACTGTCAAAAAAAGGGAAAATTCTATCATCACACTTCTGATTCACTTTACAAAAGAAGCCATATTAAAGAAGCTTCTGTACAATCAAATATACTGTACTTTCAAATTCCTGAAGACATTTGCAAAAACATGCATGTAGATTAAATAAACTTGAAGTTTGTCTGATACATCTTAGAAGGCTGAGGAATTATTATTTTTACACTAATCTAATCATAGTTCTGTCACTCTTTCAGCAAACTGGCACACACCACAAAGGCTTTCCAGTGTTCCAGGACTAGACCCAATTCACTCCTGAATTCACCAACATTAAGTCACCTTGAGCATTAAGTGCTTTGCCAAAGAAAACATGGAATATCTCAGTTTTGGCAGGTCTTTCAACTCCAGCCACAGACCAGCTGAAATATCATGACTTCAGAACTGATAGAGAGCAAAGCGAGACTGATACATAACCTGTTGTCTCTTCTCAAACTCCAGTTTGATGGGTGATTTTATACAGTTGCAGGTGTCTTGATATGTCTGTTTTAGCGCCAGTTCCATCAGATGCTTATGGTATGCTCCTGCCAGGTTCCCACATATGAAAATTATGATATTTGCCAGGATCTAGAGAAATAAAAAAAATAAAAGTGAACAATAAAGCCTATGACATATAGGATAATACCATAAGAATTTACAAATCTGCACCGTTTTTGAGGCAAAGTTCTGACATCTACCAAGGGGAATTACTTACAGTTTTTTTTTTATTCGCTTTGGTAATATTTTCACAAGTAAGGTGTATTTTTTCAAAATTCTTAGTACAAAAATCCAAACTGATCACACTTGTAACATCGCTAGTCATTCTTTCAAAATCTGATCTCATAATTTCATTACAATTATACATATTTTCATCCACTCAATCATTGTTTCAAAACATAAGATTATTGTAATATAAATTGAGAACATTTGATTTCATCACCAAAACACAACAGTATGATCTTCTTTCAATTTAGTACTTTTAACAACAATGCAAGATACATGTTTTAAATCACCTTTGTTGCTGAAATAATTAAAGTAATACAGGCAATAATTGCCATGTTAGAAAATATACTTACATTACCTAGCTTGCATAACTCGTATAAAATCCATAATGTTTGTAAAAGTATTCATACAGTGTGTTACTGTATCAAAAGGTGTGATGAAGGTATGACATGGCCATAAGGTTTTGTGCTAGAACAGAGTTTACTGGCAATGCAGTATGGCATATGACTGAGGATGTATTCACATCTGTCTTGTTTGGTTCGATTGAATCGAACTCAAGTTCGTTTCCCCCTTTTGTGCGGATCTTTTGGGCAGGTGTGAATACAGCAATCGCACTCGGGTGCGCACCAAACAAACGTACCAAGACCCAGATGAAGAGGTGGTCTCGGTCCGCTTCCAAACGAACTCTGGTACGGTTGAATGGATGAACCAATGAATGGATGACCTTAAGCACACGTTTGTTTACAGTTTCTGGTTCACTTGCAAAAAGGGCAGTGTGAAAGCAAACCACACCAAACAAACAAAAAATCAACATTGTATTTGTTCCAGACCAAAGCAAGTGAACTGGCAGACTTTCCTGGTGTGAATACACCCTGAATCTATACTGAAGGGTTGGTGTAGGGCAATAGAATATACGGTCTGTACAGTATAAAAACCATTACGCCTATGGGATGTCCCCACTTTTCACAAAAACAAACCCGTGTGTGTGTGTGTGATTTTATCAGGTTTTGCTCACTTCTGGGTACCAATTTGACCCCATAATATGGGTAAGTAGGCACGCACACGCACACACACGCACGCACGCATGCACGCACACACACACACACACACACAGAGGCATAATTGTTTTTATTCTGTACAAACCATATTTTCTATCGCCCTACACCTAAAACTACCCCTCACAGGAAAAAAAAAATACTCATTCTGTATGATTTATAAGCTTTTGTGCCCATGGGGACCTCAATTTAGGTCCACACCAGGACATGAGTCCCAATGAGTCTGTGTGTATTCAGGTTTAAGTCCCCACCAGGATATATAAACCTGCACACACACACACACATGTCTGGCTGACTATCCTTGTAGGGACTCTCCATAGGCGTAATGGTTTTTATACTGTACAAACTGTATTTTCTATCGCCCTACACCAACCCTACACCTAAACCTAACCCTCACAGGAAACTTTCTGCATTTTTGCAATCTCAAAAAAACTCATTCTGTATGATTTATAAGCTTCTGTACCCATGGGGACCTCAATTTAGGTCCCCACATTGACACAAGTCCCCATGAGTCTGTGTGTATTCAGGTTTTAGTCCCCACCAGTGTAGAAAAACCTGTACACACACACAAACACACACACAGGTATTCCTATCATTATGGTGACATTCCATAGGAGTAATGGGTTTTATACTGTACAAACTGTATATTCTATGCCCCTAACACTAACCCTACTCCTAAACCTACCCTTACAAAAATTATGTTTTTTTCTCATAGAAAAAAAGTCTCCCACAAGGACAAGGATTTCAGATATTGCCATCTCTATGGGGACATTTTGTCCCCATAACATAGGGTTTACCTGAACCATCTCTCTCTCACACACACACACACACACACGCAGTCTGTATTTTCTATCGCCCTACACCAACCCTACACCTAAACCTAACCCTCACAGGAAACTTTCTGCATTTTTGCAATCTCAAAAAAACTCATTCTGTATGATTTATAAGCTTCTGTACCCATGGGGACCTCAATTTAGGTCCCCACATTGACACAAGTCCCCATGAGTCTGTGTGTATTCAGGTTTTAGTCCCCACCAGTGTAGAAAAACCTGTACACACACACAAACACACACACAGGTATTCCTATCATTATGGTGACATTCCATAGGAGTAATGGGTTTTATACTGTACAAACTGTATATTCTATGCCCCTAACACTAACCCTACTCCTAAACCTACCCTTACAAAAATTATGTTTTTTTCTCATAGAAAAAAAGTCTCCCACAAGGACAAGGATTTCAGATATTGCCATCTCTATGGGGACATTTTGTCCCCATAACATAGGGTTTACCTGAACCACACACACACATGTACAAAATAGTGATTGTCATCTATAAATCACTTATAATGCAAAAAAATTATTAATTACATTTGATTGTCCCTAAATTGCAAACAAGTTCTCTGGAAACTATATGAATCCTTATCTATAGATATCTATAGCTGCAACAAATGATTCACTGATTAAGATGAGCTAGATTAAATAATAGACAAATGTATGAAACTGAATGAGAAGACATGCAAATGAAAAGTTTGATAGCAAGAGTGTTATGCAAAGCAGTTACTGTGAATCAATCTATCATTTATATAGATGAAACAATTATTTTGTGTAGTGAAAAGGATACTTTGTGATTGTGTGTATTGTGTTAAGACAATTGAAAATATGCTGAAATGTTTGAAAAAAGTGCACTTTTGATGATCTGTTGTGATATTAGTACAGATATAGTAGTAGAGTTTTGACAATTTAACAGTTGCTTGTGAAAATAGTACCAAAGCGAGAGAAAAAACAAAAAACAAAACTGTGTAACACTTTATTTTAGGGTCTCTTAAATAGTTGCTTATTAGCATGCATATTACTAGAATATTAGCCATTTATTAGTAGTAATTAACCACATATTAATGCCTTATTCTACATCCCTAATCCTACCCAATACCTAAACTTAACAACTACCTTACTAACTATTAATAAGCAGCAAATTAGGAATTTATTGAGGGAAAAGTTGTAGTTAATAGTGAATAAGTGTTCCCTATTCTAAAGTGTTACCAAAAACGGTAATAGGAAAGGTCAGATGTCCTTGCTTTCACTTTAGACATGTTTACATTAAATTCAATTAAAATTCATATAAATCATTATTTCTGAATTTGTTATGCTGATGATGTAATTTGTATTTTAAAAATTAATTAACATACAAAACAGATAACATTTTTGGAAAAAAAAAAAGTTTGAATCTTATGCAATAAAACTATTTATTTCTACAGTATTTCACAATAGCCATGCCCTTTTGAACAGTGGAGCAGGATTGTGCAAGGAATCAATTTCCAGCCCAAAAATATTTCATTGACACCAGCTTATGTATGGATCACTTATCATACAACAGTACGGATCCTTCAGTTTTCCATTTCATTCTCAAAAAGCTCTTGGGAGAATGATTTTTGACAAGAGCTCTGCAAACCCAATCAAATGTTCAAGCAGGGAGGAGAATTTGGTTACTGTAGTCAGTATTAGCAGCAGAAAGAAGTACTTAAGTCCTTCCCTAATGTTAGCTTTCACACATCTTTTTCTCACTTCTCTTTCATATTCCCTCGTTCAATTACCAGCCCAGTGTTGAAAAGCCATGTCCCTGATTACTTCCTGTCTTTCAGCTAAGTCCTTCAGTTCCCCATCATTTTAAAGCTCACTATTCAACATACTATTCAACATTCGGATAAGAACAGTGCATCAAAAGCTTGGCTGCATGAGATATTTTTTAATTGCTCTTGGACATCCATTTTATTTGGGTCACTGTGGAAAGAATCTCAAATGCATCTTGGCTTGTCACACTTTGAATCAGTCACTGACATGGATGGAATGAAAGTGAAGAGTCATTCACAATGACAGAAAGCACAACAGTATGTTTTCATACACAGTAGACTCACGAAAACAGAACATTTTGTGACTTTCATTATTAAAATTCTACTTTTTTCACTGACTTTTGTAGGACTAGCTGAGAAAAATATTTCATATTAGTATTTTAGACAACAACCACAATTACATTTCAGATTTGATAAAAGACACTAAAACACACATAAGAGGAAAGAAATGGCCATTTATCTGATCATTTATTCAAAATTTCAACAGTGGTTAACCATGGTAAGAAATGGTAAAAAAAAAAAAGCATTTGTGAGGAATTTTATCATAAAACATATTGATGTACAGATGTTATCAGCAGGCTTGTAAGAAGGCCAGTCAGCTATAGTAAACAAACACTGTTATAATTAATTTGTAAAAGATGTACAGCATTCATCAGCTGTCTATGAATAAATCATGATCCATTGCTTTCAGCGAGGCGGTAAAGCTTCTTATTCTTCTGACATGAGTGGGGTTATATACAGAAAAGTTTCTACTTTCTGACTGATGGATTAAGAATTCGACTGATGGATTAGGAATTCTACTTTTTTTGTATGAAAAGATATCAATATGGATTAAAATGGATCAACTGTGTTTGTTTGTAATGAATCAATTAGTCCACTTGATGATAAACTGAAAGCTGATTTTAAAAAAACACACAGCTATTTATTAACACAGCAACCTGCAAGTACAACTTTTAATGCTTAAAACCTTATTATAAAGGTTTAACATTGCATTGGGATGATCATATTATTATTATTATTTTAAAGTTTATTTTGGTTATCACAAATCTCACAAATTCACTTTTGCTAAACAACAAAACAAAACAAAACAAAAACGAACAAACAAACAAAAACTGTACATTTCCTTAAAATAATCAACATTTTTCAAGACTAGGTTAAAAACAGATTATATGAATTATATAT